AGGGAAAGCTCCAACCCTCCATGGGAGCCTACATGTACATTGCTCTGCTTTGTCACCAAGCTTGAAACAAAAGCAATCGCCATGCTCTGCTTTTCCACCACGCCTTTCTTCCATCCACCCATATACGAAGGCCATGATGACAACAAAGAGTCCGCGCGACTAGACAACTCAAAATTGACCACAAGCAATTCAAGTTTTTTTCTTCTTTTTCTAGCCTAGCACAAGCAGTTTAAGTAGCACCGAGAACCTTCAGTGCGCACGCGGATCAAACAAGGCCTGTTTCCGTGAAAAAATCATGCACAGATTAATGAAAGCATTTACCGAAAAAGGATTTCGCCCCGTTTTATAAATAAAGCAAACCGCCCAAAGCACACATACAAGGACTAGTTCAGAACACACACACCCAAGACACACAACAAGATATCCAAAGGTTCTGCTGAGGGCACAACTCAACAAGCCCAAAAAAGAATAACATAAAAAAGCATGGCCGAGGCCGAAGCCGAGGACGAGAGCACGCCAATCATCTAATCAGGCTCTGGAGGTGGCGGAGGGGGCGGCGGCGACAGGCGGACAGCCATTGGTTGAAGGTCGGCGATGAAGGCGGAGATGGCGTCCCGGTTCCAAGGGCGGCTAAGCGGCCGCCAGAGCTGCAAGTAACCAAACAGTTTGAAGAGAGCATCAGTAGCCCGTCGAAGCGGAGTCCGCTGAATCACAAGCTTATTGCGAATCGTCCATAGGGTCTACGCGAGAGCAGCAATCTCAAGCCACCTAATGTGGCGAGTGGGCAGGGGGGAGGCCTGGAGTTCGGCGAAGAGATCGGGGAAGTTGGTGTGGCACCAATCCCCACCCACAGCCTCTCTAAAACAGCTCTAGACAAACCGCCAGGAGGGGGGATGGAGCGGAGGAGGGAGCGATGGCCGAGTAGAGGGACTTGGTGGAGAATTGGCTCGATGGTTCAAGGCGCCACCGAACTTCGTCCGGGCTTGTATCGACGGTCGACTCATGGAGGGCGATGCAATCAAGAAGCTCCTGCCAAGCGGAAGCTTCCGGAGGCCCAAATGGCCTCCTAAACGCGAGGCGCCCTAAGTCTATAAGGGCCCGTTCAACTGAGATCGTCTGGACGACAGCGATGGAGAAGAGATCGGGGAACCGGGCCGCGAAGGGCGAGTCTCCCGCCCATCGGTCAAACCAGAACAGGGTCGCTGAACCCGATCCGACCGATATGGAGGTCCCAATACGGAGAACGGGGAGCAACTGAATGACTGACTGCCAAAATTGGGATCCACCAGACCGTTGACAGAAGGCCAAAGGTTGGCCACGCAGGTACTTATTCCGGATGATGTCTAGCCATAGCCCACCATGCCCTTGCGAGATGCGCCAAAGCTAGCGGGAAAGGAGCGCGATATTCATGCGCTACGGGCACATGATACCGAGGCCACCTTGCTCCCGAGGCTTACAGATGTCAGGCCAACTAACCATGTGGTATTTCTGTTTGTTATCGTCCCCAACTCAATAGAAGCGGATTGGACCTTGGAAATCTCATGGTGAAGCGTCTCGTGGAGGCTGTAGAAGCTCATGAGGAACAAGAGGAGACTGGAGAGTGAAGAGTTGATGAGAATCGTTCAGGCCGCCTTTGACAGCCACCGACCCTGCCAAGGCTCATTGCGCGTCTGCAACTTGGCCACAGTCGGTCGCAGGTCAGCAACAGTAAGCCGAGAGTCACTAATGGGCATTCCCAGGTAGATGGTGGGGAAGGCGCCTAGGCGGCAATTCAGGCGGTTGGCGATGTCGCGAGCCTCGTCCGGAAAGTAGCCCATCACCATCACATCACTCTTATCAAAGTTGATCTTGAGGCCAGACATTTGTTGGAAGCAGAGGAGGAGGAACTTAAGGTTAGCGATGTCCGTGTCCGAGCCTTCGACCATGATGATGGTGTCGTTGGCGTACTGGAGCAGGGAGATACCGGCGCCACCGGCCAAGTGGGGAGCAAGCCCACGAATATGGCCTGCCGCCTTAGCCTTGTCCAGGATGGCAGCCAGTGTGTCCACCACCATATTGAACATGAATGGGGAGAAAGGGTCGCCTTGCCTTACCCCACAAAGAGTGGGGAAGTAGGGGCCGATCTCCCCATTGATGTTCATGGCAGTGCGACCACAAGAGACCATTTGCATCACCCTGGAGATCCACCGGTCGTCGAAATCTTTCTGTAGAAGAACTTCCCGAAGGAAGGGCCAACTAACAGTGTCATAGGCCTTATGGAAATCGATCTTCAGGAAGACCTCCTTGAGGTGTTTGGAGCGGACCTCATAGAGAACTTCGTGAAGGACTAGCACCCCATCCAGAATATATCGGCCTTGGATGAAGGCCGATTGGTTGGGGTAGGTAATGTGGTCTGCAAGCAGGGTCACCCTATTGGCATACCCTTTTGCCAGAATACGAAAGATCACATTTATCACCGTGATTGGGCGAAACTGATGGATGTCATACGCCCCAGGAACCTTGGGGATAAGCGAGATCGTCCCGTAGTTGAGGCGCCCAAGATCTATGGACCCAACATAGAACTCATCAAAGATGGCCATGACCTCCGGTTTGATAACATTCCAGAAGGCTTGGAAGAACTTAACCGGCAGGCCATCCGGGCCCGGGGCCGACGTAGGGTTCATGCCTTTGATGGCGGCCCAGACCTCTCCCTCAGAGAAGGGGGGGCGTGAGGGCCACATTCTTCTCATCCGTGACAAGCTGGCGGCCGGACCAACAGTCCAGGGCCAGGGATAAGCCGCTCCGAGGAGCGGCGGCGAACAGAGACCTATAGAAGCCGTCAACGTGGGACATAATGTCCCGCGGGGACTGCAATATAGTCGGCCGATCCCAGAGAAGGGGGTGGTGTTATGTCTACGGCGGCCATTCGCGATGGCCTGAAAATACGTCGTATTTTGCATCACCCTTCAGTACCCATTTCAGGGCCCCGCGCACACGCCAGTAGGCCTCCTCGTCGGAGTAGATGACCGAGAGTTGGTCTTCCAGGTCGTACCGGAAAAGCCACTCCTCAGGAGAGAGGCC